TTTACTTTGCAACACTTCTATTTTTGAATCAACATAGATTTTGCACAGGTAAGAAAACTCCACAGGCCATAGTAAGTCAATCAGAAGACAGCGCAAATGTTATTTTTTGTTGAAGGAAATTTGTCCCTTCAATAAAGAAGGACAGAAGGAAGAGAAAAGCTTAGTCTTTACTCATAGGCTTTTTAATAATGTCATCTACAGCAGCATCAAATTAGGGAAACAACACAGAGAGGAGACATTAAAAGAGTTTCTTAGTCAATTTTCTTCTCTGAGAAAATTCAGCAACTAGTTCTCAAAATTTTCAGATTAATGATCTTAGTCTCTTGTTACTCTTTATTGGAAATTTCTGGATTTATTGTTCTGATTATTATCCTGAATTAGTATTTAATGAGTAAATAATTAGATCTGACAAAGCAAGATACAATAAACTATGTATCTATATAACTATTAAAATATACAACCACTAGATGATTATAAATTCTCTAATTTGATTCATTTAGCTTGCTCATCATTTCTCTGTACAAGTTAATTTTCAAGGCACTATCTCTTTTACCTAGAATAGCTTTTAAATTGCATGACTATCACATTTTTTTAAATATTTCTTTATTTATGCATACAAGAACTGGGGTATAAGTCAGAGGTGGGAGAGGGGAGGTGTGAGAGGATTCATCAGAGAGAATAGCGAAGAGAACAGGCAGATTGACTGAAATACACTGCTGAGGGGAGCAGCCGGTGAGAAAGGAGAGGTCTGCTGGACCATGTGGGTCACCTCCCTGGCCAGCTGGGGCTAGAACTCCTGCTGTAACGGCTGTCGATAACTTGACAGTGCTGTCTTTAGCCTCTGAGCCACCAGGCTGGCTCAACCACAAAATTTTTATCCACCAGATCCCTTCTCCAAAGTTCAGATGGAAGTTTCAGGTCAAGACAGCAACAAGGAAAGAAACTCACGTCCTCCCACAAACACAATCTACACACAAGACCATTTCTTCTCAAAAAGAAAAAAAAAAACCTAAAGCCTATCTAGCAGGCTCCTTCACCAAGCCACATCAGGGCAGAAAAAAGGCCTCCACACAATGTCCCAATAGCATTCACTCCCAGCATGGAAAGCCATAGTTGAGAGGAAACTCAAAATCAGGAGCTTCAATTCAGCCTGAGGAATGAAGGATTCAAACTCCACATCAGACACCCCCTCTTTCACCCGTAACTGAAAGATGGGTCCCCAAAACATCTAACTTTGAAAAGCAATGGAGCTCATGTCCAAAAGACCCACAAGATAGTAGCAAGTGAGAAACCACTCACACAGACACACTCACCCCAGGGTCGAGCATGGATCAGCTATTGGAAAAGCTCGCAGAATTCATGTGAAAATTCATTTACTAATATGAATGCACCAGGCAAAGGGTCAGGGGCCTGCTAGGCTAATGCCCCCCACCTTTTTTTTAAACTCTATTTTGGATAGTCCTCTACCTTACAAATGCCTGTGGGTAACATTTTTTTTCTCTAGGTGTTTTTTCTTGATCATCTCAATAGATACAAAAAGCATTTGACTAAATTCAGCATCTATTTATGATTTAAATGCTCTCAAAGTGGGTATGGAAAGAATGTACCTCAACATAATAAAAGTCATATATGATAAGCCCACAGCTAGCATCAAACTCAATGGTGAAAAGCTGAAATCATTTCCTCTAAGATCAGAAACTGTCATTCTTTGCAGATGACCTGACATTATACATAGAAAACACTATAGCACCAAAAACATATTAGGATAAATGAATTCAGTAAAGTTACAGGATACAAAATCAATACCCAAAAGTCTCTTTTTATAGAAACACTGTAATAAACTGTCAAAAAGAGAAATTTAGACTTAAAAAGAAGAAATTTTAAAAGCAAATAAGAAAATTATGATTGTGTCAAAAGAAAATGCCTAGGAAGAATTTAGCCAAGGAAGTGAAAGACTGAGAACATAAGAGATTGTGAAAGAATTTCAAAAAGACACAATGGGAAAGATGCTATGTGTTTAGATTAAAAGAATTAATATTCTTAAAATGTTCATAATACTCAAAGCTGTAACAGATTCAGTAAAATCCCTATCAAAATTCAAATGGAAATTTTCACAGAATAAAATAAACAATCCTGAAATTTGTATGGGACCACAAAAGACTCTAAAAAGTCAAAATAATCTTCAAAATAAAACAACATTGGAAGCATCACACTCCCTGACTTCCTGCCATGAAAATTGGACAGCCACCTGCAAAAGAACAAGACTGAACCACTATCTTATAGCATGCACAGAAATTAACTCAAAATGAATTAAAGTCCTAAATCTAAGAAAACATAGGTGTTAAACTCTGACACCAATCCGGAAGGTGATTTCTTGGGTCTGATCCCAAAAACAAAGGCAGCATTAGTAAGAATAAAGAAGTGGAACTACAATGTACTGATATGCAAAGGAGGTGGGTAAATGGCAATCAAATGCACTTACCATGAACCTTAAAGGGAGTTAACACCCAAAATAGATGAAGAAATAATACAACTGAGTAGCCAAAAAAAAAAAAAAACAAGCCAATTAAAATATTAGTGTAACATCTGAATAGATATATTTCCAAAGAAGGCAATATAGAAGCAAGTATTTATAGAGATGTGGAAAAAAGAGAACCCTTATGCACTACTGGTGGAAACAGACATTGGTACAACCACCCTGTGAAATAAAATGGCAGTTTCTCACCAATGTAAAGCTGGAACTACAAATATAAAGCAGGAACCACTGTAGGAACCAGCAACTATGTTTATGGGTATCCAAAGTAAATGAAAACATTGTTTATTACATCAGTATTTTCACTAGCCAATATATGGAAACAACACAATTATCCATAGATGGTTGAGTGCATAAAAAAAAACTGTGAAAGATAATAGATACATGGATACATGGATGGAAGGATGGAAGGATGGCTGGATGGACAGATATGTACATACACAACAGGACATTACTCAAACATTAAAAACCTCTCCCTTTGTGACAACATGGATGTTCCTTAAAGACATTATGCCAAGGTGAAGTTAAGTCAGAAAGAGAAAGGCAAACATCACACATGAAATCTTTACCAAAAAAAGAGCTCATAAATACAGAGAACAGTTCACAGATTGGTTTTTGTCAGAGGCAGGGGCTTGGGGAAAAAGGAAACAGGGGGTCAAAAGATACCAAGTGCCAGGTAAGAAATAAGTCATGAGGATGTACATTATGTATAGCAAAGTGACTACAGCTACACATACCACAGTGCAAAACTGAAACTTGCTGAGAGATTAGATCTTGAGAGCTCTCATCACAAGAAAAAAAAAAAAATTGGTATGATAATGGAGATTAACAATATAACCAAATATTGCAATCTACACAAATATTGAACTATGTCATCTCATAACACTAACACGATGTTATATACAGTTACACCTTGATTAAAAAAATACATTTCAGCACTGCAAATCTTTCAGAAATGAAAGGTCATTAAGAGTTTAGATATTCAATATTCAAATCCCTGAACTTAACCTGTGATCTATATTTTAAACACTTTCCATGTTCTCCCTAAGTACACTTAGTCCAAAAATTTAACTCATAAAGGGTCCATGTAAGAGTAAAAATTAGTTTGAAATTATGTATAATTTTTTTATTTAAAGAACATCCTTGGAGGGTCTCCTTGGTGGTGTAAGGGATTAAGTCTCTTGAATCTTCTCATCCCCCATGCCTCTGGCCTACACCCTAGCTCTTGTGTGCATAAATAAATACTTTTAAAAAATTTAAATCCTTGAGGCCCTCCCTGGTGGCGCAGCGGGTTAAAGCGCAGCACTGAGAATCTGGAGCCGCTTCCGCATGAGTTCGATTCCCGCCTGCCCCGGAGGAGACCACATGGCGAGGCAGACCTCTCCTGACCCGCCCGCTGCTCCCCTCAGCAGTGTACTTCATCGATCTGCCTGTTCTGCTCCCCACTCTGTCTCTCGTGAAGCCTCTCGCCGCCCCTGAGCCTCTGGCCTGTACCCCAGTTCTGTATGCACAAATAAATAAATCTTTAAAAAAAAAAAATTTAAATCCTTGGTAATTGCTCAAATATATACTTGAGAATTATTAATTTAAAATTCACTTCAGGGCCCTCCCTGGTGGTGCAGTGGATTAGAATACAGCACTAAGAAGCTAAAGCCACTTCAGCCCAAGTTCAATCCCTGCCCCAGAGGTTACCCACATGGCGTGGCAGACCTCTCCTAACCCGCCTGCTGCTCCCCTCAGCAGTATACTTCCTCAGTCGGCCTGTTCTGCTCCCCACACTGTCTCTGGTAAATCCTCTCATCACCCCTGCACCTCAGCATAAATAAATACCCCAGCTCTGTATGCATAAATAAATAAATCTTTTAAAAAAAAAGTCACTTCACCCTCATTTTTTTCCTGCTTTTTCTCATCTGCCCTTTTACTCATTCAGTATTCTATCAAAACAGAATCAGAGGAACAGTAGTAGCTTTTGGTGAAGGAATCAGAAGATGAAATTCATTTACTCATTCAACAGTATTTTTATTTATTTAATCACCTGATTACACCTCTTATGGCAAAAAAAAAAAAAAGTTATAATCTGGTGTATCACTATTGTTTTCCCAAATTGATCCAAACTAAGTAGACAAAATCCTGAAAATCTGGTGTTGTTTGGAATGGTGAAAGGAGACATCTGTCTTGTTGGGAACCCTTGGGCACAAATCAAGGCCGATTTAGTGGTAAACTTTACTTTTGACAATCGTTTGTTTCCCCCCTGCCTCTGACTACACATAAATAGATGTATACACCACAGGGAGCTTCTCAGCAATCCAGAAGAGCAAGAAGTGATGGGCTGTACATGGGGTGTGCAACAAACTGTGCTACTTTTAGCAAATCACTTAACCTTTCTGAGATTCAATCTCTGTACTTTTTAAGTCAAAGTTCTTGATTTGGTTGTTTTCTGAAAGAAACAGGTTCGGCACCTAAGAAAGATAATTCACTTTATTCTGGCATAAAATCCATAGTCCCAAGATTTATTCCCCATGGTTTAGTCCTCCCTAATGTTCTTTCTAAATGTATTTTCTTCCAAAATAATTTGAGAAGTGTGCCACCATTCAGTTTATACAAGGTCAATGAACCAATATATGCCACTTGTTAAAAGTTCTTTCCTTATATTATATAAAAAAGACTCAACCTGTTGTGTTCACTGTTTTCATATTTGAAAGGAGACTACTGACTGAATCTTTTGTTAATGTGAAATGTCATACAACTCTGGGTTTATCTCAAAAAAAAATGCTGTGAAAACACAGATACTACAGAAAATAGAAACAGCTTCACTGCTATTTTCATTTTATCTAATTGAACACAGAGGAAAGGCTCAGATCTAAGAGAAAAGGTCATAAACTGGAATTATAAGAGTACTATTTGTTACACACTTTAAATAGATACAGCTTGGTTAAGGACACTAGGCAGAAATGTCGAATCTATTGAAAACATTTAAATGTGTTCTAGACAATGAATCTTCCAGACAATGAATGAGTAGTGATGTACCATCGGATTCCTTATGGGGTTTCACATTATTAACAACAGTAAGTTACACAGGTCGAGATATACAGAGTTGCATGCTTCCTAGCCAAGACATCACACAGAAAGTTATTGGTGTTATATTACATTGACTGAAATGCTGCTAAGCCCCAAAAACATCGTGCTGACATCAACACTGGTCCAGGTATCAGATCCCCAGATATTGGTTCATTTTGTTCAAGGCATCACACACTGTGTTCAAATCACTGCGGAGGTCCTGTACCACGTTTTCAATACTCCTGGTGTCTTTCAGAATTTCAATACTCTGTGTGTAGGGATTGAAGTATACTGAGAAAGGACGAGTAATTGACTTTGCAAAGTCCCTGCAAAACAAACAGAAATTGAAGGAGATGCCATCAACTCCCTCTGGCAAAAGAGAGAGAAGGGAGAAACAGAGGCAGAAAATAAGTTAACTTCTCTGGAAGAAAGAGCAAGTTTACCTCATCTTTTCTTTGGCTTCTTCAAAACTTTCTGAAACAAAGTAGGCTTCCTGGAAGGTAGTGATAAGGCATTCCTGTAAGCAAGTTGTCTTTGGGTCAAAGGCTTTCACACATGCCTTGTCAGAAAGAGCGTGCTGCAAAACACACCGCAAAGCCGTTAAACGCCGTCATGAGGCAGCCAGAGCGCCATGACGTCACATCCCTACAGCACATCAATAATTCACCAGGACTGCTCAGTTCCGGGTCTGCCATGAAACACAGAACGGTCCCAAAGTGCAGCGTAATTGAGTGATAGGTTTTTAGGTTTCTTTCTTACTTTTCTTCCTTTAGCCCATTAGGTGCTGGGGGGGGGGGGGGAGGGTCGGATTATGTTATTATTTTATATATTATCAGCCAGATTCATATTGAAGGACAGTTCGGAGCTGTGACCCAACAGAAACGGAATTTTAAATTTATACTATGAATAGAAGCGGGGAGTGCATAAATACGGCCCTAAATTGATTGCTGTAAGCAATGTACTGAAATTTCATTTAAATGGCAGAAGTAATAATTACCTGTGTGGAGAGGTAATTGGGACTCTGACTGAACTATTTGTGGACTCATTGCTAGACATTTTGAGGCCAAGTACCGTGGCTCAACAGAGTCTAGAGTGGGCCTGTGTATTCCAGGTTACTTACAAAGCAGTCATTTACCTTCAACCTCCACAGCAAAGCCACATACAGCAGATAAATATTGCCAGGTAGGGGGCGAAAAGGAGCTAATATCAATACCTATAGCTATGCCTAGACCAGCCATTAGAAAAAACAATGAAAATACTCTTTCCACTATTGTTACCTCTGTTCAGATCACTCCCAGCCAGCCACTAAGAACAGCAAGGAACAATGGATGGATGGTTGGATTGAATGAATGATACATTCTTATCAATGAATGATAAATTCATTCAAATGATGTTAAGGGGGCCTCCCTGGTGGCACAAGGGGTTAAGTCTCAGTGCTGTCATGCTGTCATGCTGTCAACTGGGGCCAGAACTGGATCCCCAGCCAGGGATCTCACACATCGTGCTCCAGATGGCTCCTGTCTCACCAACTAGTCCCCTCAGCAGTGTATTTCAGTCTGTCAGTCTGTTCTTCTCCCCTGTCTGTCTTTGGTGAATCGTCTTACCCCAACACTTTGGCCTGCGCCCAACTCTTCTATGCAAAAATAAAATTTCAAATGTTTAATAAAAAAACAAATGTTCAAAAGTTAATGTTCATTTCCTGTCACATGCCATTTGCCTATTTATATACCCTGGACTCTCAAGCATAAAGCACAGAAGAATTGGTAGGATCTTCTGGAAAAAATGCAGATTTTAATTGGTAGGTCTAGGTGAATCCCAGACATGCACTTTAAAGACATCCAAAGTGACACAGACATAAGTAGTTGTGACTTTATTTTGAGAAATTCTCCTCTAGATTCTGTCTTTTTCTTTAAAGGGGTTCTATCCTTAATTTAAGGGTAAATTTGCTGAAAGAGAAAGACGGAGGAAAATAGGTAGTAGAAACTGTTTTAAACTGGGAGCTAGAAGACTTGGGCTTTAGTCCACAGTAGGGGCTCTCTGTCCAGAGGTGCAGGGGTGGTGAGAGGATTCACCAGAGACAGAGCGGGGAGCAGAACAGGCAGATAGACAAAGTACACTGCTGAGGACAGCAGCGGGCGAGTCAGGAGAGGTCTGCTGTGCCATGTGGGTCACCTCCGGGGTGGGGATGGAACACACACCGAGGCGGCTGCAGCTGGCTTGCAGTGCTATGTCCTAACCCGTTGCACCACCAGGGAGGGCCGGGGCTTGGTTATTTTTTAGGACATTCTATTCCAGTTTCTGGATTCTACCTAAAACACTTTTCTACCATCTCAATCGCTAATAGATTAAGTTTCCTGGAGAAATGTTGAAAAATCGTTCCTGTTCAATCTTTGTGGTACCTTCCCCCAGCAATTTCAAAATGCAGGGAATGATTTGCAGTCTTCCATGAAGAAGGTTGCGGTTCTCTACATTTGAAAATACAAATGCAAACCAATGGCCGACGCACAAGAGAAAGGGCATATGGGCCCTACCCTGAGGGTGATTTGCTTTCCCACAAAGCTGCATTGTCCAGATCAATGCATATATGAATCAGGAATGCAGAGGGCCTCTGAGAGTGAACTCATTTTTTTGGCCCACAGAACAACTTCATTATAAGCAGAAGGTCACTACACCTGCAAATGCATTTGTGCTGCATTCAATACACTGCAGTGAACATCAGGGGATTTTGGTTCCACATGACTAATAATTCTGTCCACATTTTAAAAACAACTTCACAGTTTCAAGAAACAAAATGCCCTTTTATGACAGCTGCTGCCCCTCTGCAAAGAACAGACCTCCTATTATCTCACTGTGGTTTGCAGAATTAGAAGTTGCTTTCTTTGCAGCCATATACTATGGGTATATTTCACGTTAGTGTGTTGCTCTCATTCCCAGCCATCCACCAGGATATATGAATGAAAGGACATTACTTAGTGATAACTCAGTGTCCTTGATCTATTTTCGCATTATTATACTCAGGATCACAGTCTAATGGTAGCAAAACAGCTATAAGAACTTTAAGCCTTAGAGTCGCCCTGGTGAGTCAAATACTCTTCATTGGGTCAAGGACAAGAACAAGAGGGAATGAAACTCATAAGCTTGGATCTGCAATGCTGGGATAGGACAGAAGCAACCTGAGTAGTCATGTTGTGTACAGGAAACCTGCAAAGATGTATGTGCAATGATAGAGACTTTGATCAGTGTCATTTTAGAAAAATCCAACATGTGACCATTTCATTGAATAGTTGAGTTAGTCGTTTTATCACTTTAAATGATAAAGGGGATGAGAACAGACTAAGAAAAAACCCAGAGGGTAAAGTCTTATCCTCCGAACTTCAAGAAAAGTCAGACTAGTCACAGCACATAATTTTAGGCTAAGGCCATAAGGCAATATATATCACACTCGGTTGATGTACTGTTCAAAGGAAAAATGGAAGCTGATGGCAAGGGGATAGAGAAAAAGGAATGTTCTTATACACTGTTGGTGGGGAAATAGACTGTCGAAGCCCAATGGAAAGCAGTATGGAGGTTCTCAAAGATTAAAAGTAGATCTGCTGTATGACTCAAATTCTGCTCCTAGGCATCTACCCAAATAATACAAAAACAGTAGTTCAAAGGAAAACTTGCACTCCCATGTTTATTAACAATAGCCAAGATATGAAAACAACCAAAGAGCCCCAAAACAGATGAGTGGATCAAAAACATGTGGTATGCTAGAGCCTATACTACCTATATAGTATATAGCCAAAGAGAGAATACTATTCAAGGATCAAAAGAGATAAACTTATTTCATTTGCAGCAACATGGATGGAGCTGGAAGGGATCACATTAAGTGAAATAAGTCAGAAGGAAAAAGAGGAAAGTACTGGATGGTGTCACTTATATGTGGAATATAGAGAAACCAAACAAAAGACTTTAAAGAAAAATTTTAAAATCAACCATGAAAGGGGACCATAGAACTGAAGCATCCATAAGGGGGAGAGGTGGGATTAGAGAGAGGGATGAGAACAGGGGAGGCAGAGAGAACAAAGGATTGTGGTAGAGGTGTTTCAGTGGGGGGGGGGGTTGCTTTGGTGCCTACACCTGAGGCAGAAACCTTATACTTCCTGAACACTTACAAGGATGTAAATCAAAGGAACTTTAATTAGAAGGAAAAAAAAAAAAAAAACAGAAGCTGATCAAGTTCAGAAAACTCTCAACAATATAGTCTACGCTTCAGAGTCTGATATAATGGTTATTGGGTAGGATTTCTACACCCATGGAATATGGCACCAGGGCTATTTCTTGGCTATTATGTGTATGAGGATAACAATATCCAAAGATTAGCCCTGAGAATGGCAGGATCCTGAAGTTGGGGGAGTAGCCAGTGAGTGAAACCAAAACTGCAGTGATGATGGTACTTATAAATAGTCTCATCTACCACACTCCTGTGTGATGATTTCAAGCAAAATCCATGTATCCATGAGGTCCCCTGTGCCTGAATACTAGAGCATGGGTTGACTATAAAATAACATAAATGTCTGTTGGTTTCAAACGCTACTGCCTACTAGGGTGAAATCCTTCTGAGTTTGTGACTCAATTTCTCTTCATTCCTTTTTCTTGGTTTTGGAGAGCAGTTGCCATGTCCTCTCCTCTATGTCCAGAGTGGCTTCTCCGTAAACACTGAGTCAAACTCTGTGATTCCCAGGCAATTCTGTGGCCAATCCTTCCTGAAGGATTAACATTCTGAAGTGTCCTTGGGTCTGTAAGAATCTAGCTGATAGTCTTTTACTATCAAACAAATTTTTAAAGGCAGAAATACTTGAGAGTCATTTTCTCTCATCTAACCACTCTTTAAAAGGACTATTTTTTTAATATAATAGTTTATTTTTACATCATTTTGTGGCTTTTTCCATCTCACTTGGAATCCCCATGGACTTCCCATCACCAAATCACCTGATCACCCGTGTGCCATCACCATAGTCCCGTGCACTCCCCCAAACCCCCCCATTTTTGATACCATGCTCCACTCCACTCCTGTAAAATGTCTCTGGTATATAGTTGTTCATTACTATTAGTTTCTGCCCTGATCCAAAAGGACTATTTTTTATTGACATATAGTGCTAACAAAGGTACATAGGACTGGGAGCAAGGACACTTACATGCTAAATGTAGGTGCCCCTTGGTACGTATCAAGCAAGTGAAACTTTCCCAGGTTGGGATACAGTTTCTCCTCTGGTAAGCTGTAAAGATTGATTTACATAAATGCTAAATCTCTTCTTGAAATAAAACTTTTTGTAGAGGCCTGAAAATACACAGCACTCATTCCATCATCCCCTCTGACTATTATAGAGCCTAAACTGACCAGAGCATTCTGCCCTTCTTATGAGAGATGGTCTTTACCAATTAATTGGCTTTCAAGCATGTGTTTAGATAATAGCCATTTCAGTCTTTTGAATATAAAAATCTCTTCCCAACATCAAAATTTCCCCATGCCCCAATGGCTAGTAGATAGGTAACTACAATTTGAATTATAATTAAGAGTACATTTTGGACCCT